GCATAAGTTGATCCGTTGGTACTGGGGACGGATGCACTGACGCCTAAAGGTTGTCCTCGAGTCTCAACACGATTTGTATAACACCCAACACGTCACACAAAAACATCTGGGCCCAGCACCGCATTGACGACATTAACCACCATTCGTAGGAGGATGGGCGGTTTTGTCCAAATTAGAATGCGCATTGAAATGTTCTCGATCCTGTCGCTTAAAGGCAAAACGAAATCCACACGCGGCTTTCCGTCACAGACAACATTTGTCCTAAAAGCACGAAAAAGTACAAAAAAAGGATTTCCCCAAAGTCAGGTCTGTAACAGTCAGCCTCGAATGCCAAGTCAGACCTAATGCAAGTCGTGAAGGTTAAGGATATGTGAAGACACCGACAGCCGGACAGAGAGTGAAAAAGGCTAGCACAGATGCAGACATGCATGCATGTATACAGAGATACAGACAGACGAGGAAGAGGAAAAGTGGCAAGGACGGAGTCCACCAGACGGTAGTTACCAAGCTCTTTTAGAGGATGTATTGGTGGACTTTTAACATCTGTTCGGGATGAACTCCGGCCGAGGACGACATCAGCCCAAACGGTCAAATGTTTAGGCCGGGCGACAAGCCAAAAGACACCAGCTTGAAGTTTAGACCCAAGTGAAATCAAGTGATCCGCAACTCTTGACGGTTGCATCAGGCGAGGGTCTCGCAGACCACTTTTCTGGACGTTTGTAGGGAGCCTTGACGGCTGGATGCACTTTAAGCTGCCTCTGCTAGAATCGTCGAAAAAGTTCGCTTTTATGCAACAGCACAACTGGTCGCCAAGCCTTCAGATTGACTCTGAAATCTCGCGCATTCAAGAATTCTGAGACCTGGTGCCTAACCTGGTTCGTCTGGATGTTGGTTCTTCGCTCGAGGGTCATTTCGTGGGATAACCGCTGTCCCACTCAGATGCAGACAAGGGATCCAGTTCATCAGTCCTCCTTTCGACTATTTCATGACATTGATGCTTGAAAAAGGCCGGTGAGGTAGAGAAAAAGATCTCAATTGTTGAGCTTACTTCCATTTCGAGTGAAAGTGTTCCAGAAGACGACCAACTGTCGATTGGCTTTCCTGGAACATTCATGGTGAG